TTAAGTAGTAAGAGACACTGAAATCTGTGAGTGGACCATGTACACCTGACATGTGTGAGCACACAGTGATTGAGAACCAATCTGTCCCGGAGCTCGAAAGACTGACAACCAAACTGCAAAAGGAAAATCATTTTGAAATGAAAACAGGGTAACAGATGTGATACCTGGCTATTGCACATTTTATGTTTTAGTTAAACAGTTGAAGCCAAAAACCGAAGCAAGATCGAGAGACTATTATGTGAGAATGACTGGGTGCTTGGTGTGAGATGACTTACGGAATAATTTCATTATAAAGCAAATTATGACACACATCTCAACTATTCAATTAGTCATGGATTAGGTTGTGACATTAAATAACACAACCAATGTCCTGCTGCAAAAAAGAAAACAGGGACTTAATATGCAATAAACTGTGAAGCTTGCCCTTATATGAATTTGACATTTTTAAGCAGAGCATTTGCACTGAATCAAGGTTAGGTGCCTTAACACGTGTGAAAATATCTGTCCACATAACATGTTTTCTATAAAAATATTTTTTCCAAATGCCATGGCAAACACTGCCAATTTAAACTAAGCATTCTGTTGATTTGATAACCTGACTGCACCACAAGATTTATCACTTAAAAAATCTAAAAGAAGTAAAACTCACATCATTGGTTATATAGGCTATTTGACAGGAGCCTTTGTTTGCAGAAGAGATCAGAGCCTGTTTTAGGATGCTCCTTTTCAAAAGGAATTCAAGGGGAAAGAAAAAGAAGACGCCCTGCTTGGATGCTGTTATGAGGAGGTCCGGCCACTGGGTGGCAACATTGCACTTACTTTTTATAGTTTTTCTCCTGGAGCCATTGTGTAAATAGTGAATTTGTCTCTATGCAATGTATGTTTCAGTTGATGTCTTTGAATGGATGTTATTGGATATCATTTCTGGTGTCTTGTTATTACTATATGCAGAATAATTGTTCAGGTTGTGTATGCCAGCATTTTAGTGATCATCCACTGCAACAGGGCGTTTGAAGTTTAATCTTCCATATCTTCCTACAGCAAACTTTAATTTAAAATACAGAAATCTTGTTCAGCTGACTGTACGTTCACTGCAGTTTTTAATTCTGTCACACAGACCTTTATGCAATAAATTTCATCACTAATCCATCATAAATCAATAAATCAACTGTACAATGTTCTCTTTGGTGGTGATTCATTCAATACTTCTTGGGTATTTCTGCCACATCAACATATTTACATGAATGTTACTAAAATATATATAATACATGTGGATATATACACACTGAATATGTAACACTGAGCTCAGAGAGAATTAATATTTAGACCAACTGGCACCACATCAAAACCTTGTTATTAAAATGGAAATGGTGTAAACTAAAGAATAGGTGGAAATGAAGAAGATGAGATGTGAGGAGGTTTCCAGCACTTTTAGATCAATATCCTATCAGCATTTGCATTTTTTTTTTCCAGTTTGTTTTATTTAGCCAGAAAAGGACCTGCAGGAGACAGATTGGGTAAGATACACAGTATTTACACAAGCTAAGACTGGCTCGCCATCTCTGCCAGGAAGCTGCGCACTGATATCCCCATTGGTCTGTCAGGAGCTGAAACTGAGTTGAAAGCTACAGTAGATGCTGCCATTTTCTTTGTTTGTTGCAGATCAGATTTACCTCTATGAAGTTTGCCTACCCTCATTTCATCATGACTGCATAAGATTATACTACAAAGGGATGACCCCACACTGCTGTTCTTAAAATCTGTGAATCACCCATGGGTAAAAGTAGGGGTACTTGATGTCTGCTCTCTTTACTTATTTTAAAATGTGTCCTTGATGAACATTCAAGTTGGAATATACTTCTCAGATTTCAAATTCAGTCTCTCAATATTTTTTTTGACAATACTGCATGAACCTGTGTGACATTTATTTTAATTTACACCATAGGGTTAGCAAATTAGAAGAATCTGCATTTAAGATAGAAGATAAGTATTATTCAGTGGTGGAAGAAGTATTCTGATCATTTGCTTCATCAAAATGTTGCTTGAGTATAAGCATAAAAAGTTTTTATATAATCACATAGGCTATCATTGCTGGTGCATTAACATGTGAGCAACTATATTTTTACTACTTTATATACTGATTGGTACAACAATGCAATCTTATGATATATTTTGGCAATTTAGATCTGAAATGTAAATGTGAATAAATACTACAAATACTTCCCCCTAGAATGTATAAATAAAAACACAATGTAGGATGCAATTCAAAATAATGAACAGAGGCTCGTGAAGCAGATTTCTTACACACAGGCTTACATATTCCTTATTATTACTGTAAAATGATGTAAATGAATAAATTATATGGTGATTAATTCAAAAGAGTTAGAAAACTTGGAATGACTGAATTTCCCAAATACAATTTGTGAATTAGGCTAACTAGTTGTATATTTGATGGTTCTTTATGACAATAATAATAAAAATGTTACGGACTTCTAACTTAATTGTATGATTTAGCCAATTTGATGAGCAAAATAATAGGCATACTCCGGTTTCCTCCAGAATGCTGTACAATCATCTCATTTGTTATTTGTCAAACAGGATATTTTCTCCTATTAACAAACTCAGCAGTAAAGCACCGTGCCGTGCAGATACGCTCGGGTCCTGTGGAGGGCAGCAGCACACTTTGAGGCACCTCCTCCACCGCGAATCTTTTATACGAAGAAGAAAAGGTCAGTCTATATTGTGGCTGTCGGGATTTGTCGTTTCACCTTCGTAGCTAAAACCTTCACTTCTATTGTAGGGTGGCGTGTGCCGCCCTACAGTTCCCGACACGTCCCTTTAGTTTGAACTGGTGGGAAGAGTCGCTGAATGACAAGTCAATTTATCATTCACTGAACGCTGTGTTTTCTATCGACAGTAGCAGAAGAACTTCGTTTCAGAAAGTAAGTATCTGATAAAAGTGAGCTTCGTCGTCGTGGTACAGTTAACTGACTGTTGAGTTGTGATGGGCGGGCGAAGCCTTGTGAAACTTTGGGGCTTTCTTTTTATTTGAGCCGAAAGATACGTTTGAAGCTTCAAACTTAGCAAACAGAGCGACATCTGGTGGCTCGTTAAAGTTACAGCAGCACAACGCCTCGCTCCAGATGACCATGATTTACCTGCGTGAGCTTACTGTGAGTTGAGGTCAATGACTGATCTCGCGGCATTTGCAAAGATAAATGCCGCGAGATCAAGCAAAAGGTGGGTCCAACTTTGTGCAGCCGGAGAAAAGTAACTGCGGCCGCCGGACTCGGCGCCTGCGGCCACCTTGCTCACGCGAGGTTTAAATTTCATGTGACATGGTGACGTTGCTCAGCGCCGCATGAAGTCAAACATACCTATAGTCTCGTGTGTGCAAGAAGGGTGCGTGTTTTTAAGTCTGTATACTTTTGTTCAAGTATAGAGTATAGATGTTGATGTGCAAAAGCCAGTAATAGAGTAAAATAATCAAGCGTTGTCCCAAAAGCCTGGATATAAAATATTTTTGCTGACACAAAACATGAATGTACCTTTTTGGTGTAGTTTAGTGAGGGTCATGTTTTTAAACTTCATAGTTGACATTTATGTGACATTTCATATGAGTGGCAATGAGATATGATATAATTCATTGAATTAGCCTATTACTTTTATTACATCATTACTTGGTATCAGGTGTTCTCATACTTGATCGTCTCTTTCTAATGAACATCGCCATATTTCTCAATTTTTCTCCTAATCATTTTCCACTAATATGCCAACCACATAGTTTAGCTGTAAACTGTCAAACTTTTCACCTTACAGTTTAACAGTTTGTATTACTTTTATCTACGTTTTATTTAACCTTTATTTTAACAGGTTTTATTTTAACATTTTACATTTAACGTTGAAATGGAAATGGAAAGTCCCATTGAGGCACAGTCTCTTTTACCAAGAAGTCTTGTATATCACAAACAACAATTTTAACTTGAAATGCAGTGTGTAGTGTAGACAATACTAAATTAAAATACAGTACGATGCAAATTAACACATTTTTACAAAATATATTTACATGGGCAAAATACAATGAGTTATAAATATATAAACAAAAGTAAATTAAGTGTAGATATCTAATGTTAGATATTAGCCTTGTGCCGAGTAGTGTTTTCTTAATGGGTTTCAGGCAGCATACGTTTGAGTCTTAATATACTCTTTGCATTTAGTATGTAAATGAAATTTACCATATAGAATCAATAAGTTTACAATCCATGTTATATTTATCATCTTCAAAATGTGTAGGGAAATCATAATAGTATGATTAGTTTTAACATGAGTCCAACCCGTCACTTAGTGTACACAGTGGTAAAGTAGATGCGTTAAAGATTCTGGTTCACCTTTGAAAAAGGACGGGACCTTCAAGGATTCGCACGAGGTTGGAAAGTTTGTTGGAGGGAAAAACTCAGAGATGATCGGTCAATCAAAATAACAAGGATTGGGATGGTTATCATTTACTGTGTGTCAAGGCGGCAGAGAGATCAGATTATAGCAGTTTGAAATGCTTCCTACTCAGGTTGGAAATAAAAAAGAACGGAGTAATAAGTGGCGTACCACAGTCAGTGGAAGACGAGAAATTTTGGGGTATTGAAAGTGTTTGTGAGGCGAGAAGTTTCCTTCAAGGAGAAAGGGAGCAAAGTCACTCTATGTGTTTGACGTTTGAGAGAGATTTGCCAGAGAGGGTATATTTAGACTACATATGTTTCAGGGTGAAGCAGTGGTTAGCACTGTCGCCTCACAGCAAGAAGGTTGTGGGTTTGAAGGTTGTGGGTTCGAACCCCGGCCTTTCTGTGTGGAGTTTGCATGTTCTCCCTGTGTCTGCGTGGGTTCTCTCCGGTGCTCTGGCTTCCTCCCACCATCCAAAGACATGAATGCTAGGTTAATTGGTGTCTCAAAAATTGTCCTTAGGTGTGAATGTGAGTGGCCCTGTCCAGGGTGTACCCCGCCTTTCGCCCAATGTCAGCTGGGATTGGCTCCAGCCCCCACAACCCTGTACGCAGGATGGATGTTACAGGGTAAGGCCTTATAAAAGAGGGTCTGTCATGCACCGACGCTATCAAGAGTGCAAAAGGAACAGGAGCCGAAAAAGGAATGGAGATGAGCAGAATATGATATGCAATTCCTGGCATTTCTATGGTTGTTAGAGAGGATCAAGATGGCGGCAAGGAGATTCTTGGACATTGTAGACACATCAGGAGAAGAAATAGTCAGTAAACTGAGGGAAGGATTTACACCATCTCAGACAACTGAGTCTGAGTCATAGAACGGACAATGCATTGAATGGGAGTACTTCGGGTGGTCACTGTAAATTTATTGCACTGGGGAAACTATTTCATCCAGTAGGTGGCGGTAATGCAACATTTTGGATGTCAACCGCCATAAAACCACAAAGAAGAAGAAGAAAGCTGCGGTATTATCTGCACATCTCTACTGTTGATACGGGGGTTAAACTTCATGTGTTTGTGTTAGTGCTGGTTTTTAAAGAGTTACTCTTCGCCTTGTACCGAGTAGTGTTTCCTCAACGTGCTTCAGTCAGCAACGACTTCAGTCTGTGGTTGAAACGAGTTAAGCAACGTTTGTTGGCTAACCCGGGTTATCTGTAGTTTCAATAGCCCTTATCTGACAGTGTCAGGGCGTTTTATGCATATATGAACTTATTTCACAAATGACAAACATTTGAGTAGAAAAGCTCCAGCTGGGCGTCTCGTGTGTAAGTCTTAGGTTATTATATCTAACCTTAAATATGATCACAAATGGATCTTAATTTAGCACACCTTGTATCATATATGTTAACATTAACGTTACCTTACTACTACTATTGGAGTTAACGTTAGCTAAAGTTACTGCATCATCATCGTCTTTCCCGACATCATTGGACTTCGCAGGTTAGTACTTTTTTTTTAATGCATCTGAATGTCGAGTTAAAACGATTAACATTAAGTTAGTTAACATCAAACTCTACTTGATCAACAGAAAATATTTCAATAACTGACTAAAGTTAATCATACATGTCGTTTAGCTATTTTGTGACATTTTATAGACCAAACACTTGAATAAAGAATATAATTTTTGGGTTAACTGCTGGTGAAACTAATCGTTAGTTGCTGTCTTACTCCAGAGTGAAGGGGAAGCTTGAGCTGTTGAAAGATGGTTTTGTAACATTATGCAGACTGAAAGCTTTTCTTAATGTCACCATAACATCATTATTATTCCTGTTAATTTTTTATAATGATAAAAGTTCTTTCTCCTAATATTAACCCTGATGCATGTGTAGTAAATTCAGACACACTAACATAATTGCCCTGTTTTGTTCACAACACAGCCATGAGGAATCTTTGGACCAAAGCGGGTGTTTTCGGTTCCGTTTCTTTGGCTTTTGGTTCAATGCTGTGGTCACAGAAGAAGACCGAATCAGACCAGGTTGCTTCAAGTTGCTCCTCTGCTGATGCAAATCTCAGTTCGCCCTATGAACTAAAATTGGTCCAAGTCCTGTTCCGACATGGTGCCAGAACACCGCTCAAGTCAATACCTGATGTGATGGAGGTAAAAAAAACAAACTAATTTACCCATTTAGTGCTTGTGTCTTTAAAATATATAGTGTTGCATAATATCTGTAAGTAACAACTAGGAAATTCCTTGTCTGGGCACGTTCGTCTCGTCAAAGGTCCAGTGGGTGCCAACGCTCTTGGAGCCTCCAGCGCATACCAAAATCGACTATGTAGTGACTGATCTTCATGGTGGCCCAAAGCCCCCGGCTCCTGTAGAAGACAGCTATCGGAAAAACCAACTGACCGTGAGTAGGTGTGTTTTGTGGTGTTGAATGCAGTCAGACAAGAAAAGGGCTGAAGGAACAAAATCATGTGCAGAAACTTGTGTAGTTGGTTCTTGTGTAAGAGCCTTTGTTGGAGGATAATGGTTAACATACATGTACATTTTCACGGAAGATATTTAGGCACATAGTAGCTAGAAAACCACAGGTGTAATTAGTAACATAATGATGTCATTCCATTTAGGTGAGCCTTTGCCAAGGCTCTGACACTGTGCAGTCTGGAACAGATTACTTAGACACTTACTGAGACAAGAGAGTCACCAACAATAGTTACATCTGAGCTTTTTCTGCTATGACAGTTGACCTGCTTTGGTACAGGCCTGTTGTTTTATGTTATATGACCACCTGTGTGTAATCAAGATATTGGATTAAATATATTTTACAGAGTCTGTATTTTTGGATGTTCTTGCCTTTTTAATAGATCAAAGATTTAGAGATTTAAAGCACCTTGTGGACTGCCTCACTCTTGTATTCATTCAGTTAGCCTCTGTCCCTTTAGTGGCCACCATGATTCGTTACAATGCCTTGCAGACGACATTAAAGTGGGTTAATTCATTCACCTCCTCTGTAATACTGCTGAACTGTGTAGAGCTTACCAGTGAGATATTGTGTCCTGTTTGCCAGCCACAGTGTCCATGAAAATGTTTTCCTGTGCTTGAGTTGTCTGCTTTGCTAAAGAGGTTTGCTGCGCTGGGTTCGACTTAGAAAACTAAATCCCACAATATGGACTCCTGCCATCCTTGTACCACATCCTTGCTGGGTTCCTGGTTTATGCCATTGTAGGAGTGTGTATGTTAGGCCACATCTGTGGGCGAAACGTGATCCTGTTTGTCGCACTTGGCAGGGTGGCACGTTCCCCGGTCAGCTGACCACAGTGGGCATGCAGCAGCTGTATGAGCTGGGCAAGAGGCTGAGGAGGAGATACATAGAGGAGAGTCCTTTTCTCAGCTCCACCTTTAACCCAGCTGAGGTCTAGTAAGTGTTGCGCATCGTGACGGGTAGCCAGAGCCCAAACACATGTCTGTACTTTACAATTTTGATAAATTAAGTTTATGAGTGCAGTACAAAGGGCATCAGCCCAAATGCTTTAGTACTTTTCAAGTTGGCTGCCTTCCATGACCTATTTTTTCCATTTTTAGTGTGCGCTCCACTAACATTGTGAGGACCATTGAATCTGCCAAGTGCCTGGTAGCAGGGCTCTTCCAGCAAAAACAAATAGGTAGGGTAATCCATGTCAGCATGCTGTTAGTTGTTCTATTCTGGATCTCATCTAATCTGTTTTTGTTGTTTTCTCTTCTGCTTGAAGAAATTGTGCCTATATTAACAACGGAGGCAGAATCTGAAATCCTGTATCCTAACTACCACGGATGCAAGCTGCTCAAAATCCTTGGCAGGTATATAGAGGCTACCCGAAACTTGAATAATTATTAGCCAAGCTGAGATGCCTCTGACAGGCTGTCATGGTGTGTCTGTGTTTTGTGGCTGACGCCGTGTGTGTTCTGTGCAGCCACCGCTGGGCAGAGTCGTCCACTCTGCCAGACATTGCAGCAGACCTGCAGAGCATCCAACGTGCGTTGGGCATCGCTGCTCACCAGCACATCGACTTCATCCTCATTAGGGACGACATGGTTGCCAGAGAGGTGACACCGCCACATCATGATTCATATGACTTTTATTAGGTCTCACCACAAGCTATCAGAATACATACCATTATTATCAAGGCCTGGCCGGAGGCAGCTACCCAGCAAGCTGCTAGTTATATAAGATGAAACTCTATAAAGGTTCATCAAGTTTCTAGAGATTAACAAGCAAAAAAATAACAGATTCAGCATGATTTGCGTTTAAACATTTACTTGTGACTGATTTTAAAATAAGTTCCCATTGATGCAAATCTGAAGACTTCTAATTCAGTCAGTGATAGAAATGTTATAAATGAAGCTACTGGTAGTTTTTACTGCCACATCTTCAAATTGACACCATCCTTTACTGTAAGTTGCCCACAATAGACACCACTTTAGAAAATGATGGCAATGAAGGGTAAAATGGAAAATATTTTACAATAAAAGGACCGCTTTTGTGAGGAAAAACCTTAAGACATGCTGTACATTTGCTTTTGATGTTTGTGTAGCCCAACAGCCTGCTGACTGTGTCAAGTCTCTGCTCATTAACAGACTCATGGCCTGCCCTGTCCAGCAGTGCTGGATACCTGGAGGAATAAAGTGGAACAGAGAGCTGTGGACATGATCTACCATGTGTATCAGCCCAGCAAGAGGTTAGATTAAACAAAGCCTTCAAAAGTGCAAAGGCTTTTGAAAAAAGGGTAGATTCCAGTTTTGACAATCTATAGGTGTCAGTAAGGAGGCTTTACCCAACTGTTTTTTTTGTTTTTAAGTTCAACAGGCCACTTTTTAATTCTTTTGCTATGTTTTCGACAGGGAGAACTTGCAGCTGTGTGTGGGACCCCTCCTGCACACATTATTAGTTAACATTGAAGGGAAGCTACAGGACACCTCATCAGATCCAAACAGGTTGGACCCCTCTGGATGGATGCAACCATTTCTTGCACACAAACCTGATTGTGTTTCTCTTTAAGTGGTCCACTCTCCTCTCTCTCAAACAGGAAGTTGTTTTTGTACTCTGCACATGACACCACTTTGATTCCCTGTCTGATGGCTCTGGGGATTTTTGACATGAAGTGGCCACCGTACGCTGCCGATATCACTCTGGAGCTGCACCAGCACCGGCAGACCAGCAAGCCCTTTGTTAAAGTGTCATACATCGGCCAGGTAGGGGGTGAGAATGTGTCTGTTTATTTGATAAGCTTTTATTTTTTCCCACTTGTGTTTCACTTTAAGTTGCTTGTCTTTCTGTAGGATCAACTTATACCAGGTTGTAGCGGAGTGTACTGCCCCCTGGAGGAGTTCAAACAGGCCCTCTCAGACTACTCACTGAGCTCTGAACTCTACCAGTCACTTTGTAACCACACAGAGGGTTTGGCCGAACCCTGAACCCTCAAAGCTTCACGTCTCAACACAGTGCTACCCATGACATTACACTCCTGACACTTACCACGCATCATGTTTTTTTTCACGTTCTCATTCCATCCAGCTTCCATCCCTGTCAATATACCTCACTCTCAGACTACACCAGGGAAAATTTTCTTGGGCACAAGTCCTGCATCACATCCTCTTTTGGAGATCTTTTAGTTTACATCAGACGTTATTCCTCATCTCCATGTAACCATGGCAATAAAATGGTTAATATAGTTTAAAGTTTACGTGCAGAATGATTTTACTATAGAGTGTATATCTGATATGAGATGCTTAGTGCATAGGTGTCTGTTTGCAAGCACTTAATCTTTTTTGCTTAATGATGAAGGTGGCGTTAGTCCATGATTTTCTTATTGTCAACAAATCCCAATAGACTAAAACCAACAATGTCTGCATATCTCTCAGTACCTTCATAAAACATTAAGAACAGGTGACAGATGCATAGTTTAATTTTTTAAAATTAATTTCCTAAAATTACATGACACTAGTTTTAGCAAGCGATATTTGAACAGGAGTAAATTGTAGATTTGTCGGAATATTTTCAGCTGCAGTTTGATACATATCTGCTATTAAGGAACATGTCACCCAGTTAAATAGTGTGGCTCCTGTTTTGTGCTTTAGACAACAATGGAGGTCTATGGCACAGAGGAATAAGTTATATCAGGCTTTGTCTACACGGGCAATCAGTCAGTAGGATAGATTCATTGTTGGTTTTGTTCTTTTTAGGACTTTTTGAAAAGAAAAATGCAACAGTATTATTAGCCTTTTAATTATAAGTTCAAACAGTTGCTGAAATCTAATCTTAATATGGACAACCTAAAGGTTAACCAATGTGACATCATCAATGCCTGTATCTGACTGCTGATGCAATTCTGCCAATTAGGTTGTGTTTACAATTAATCATTCATAATAGTTCATTCCTCAGGGGAATATTAAGCACTTCATGTACAGTAGCTAGTGGTTATTAACAAAGGGGTGCAGAAAGTGTTCTTAATGTGTAGGTGAATGTCTTCATAAATGCAGAAAGGGAATAATTCTGCTCAAGTATGTTTTAAGAGTGAAACATTAGGTTGCCTTCTTGTGGGGATTTGTTATCAGACCGCAGTTTGATGTATGCATGAATACATGCCCATTATTTTGACTTGAGTGTTAGTCTTAGCAAGCATTGTACCTCATCAGCGGGAGTTTCCCTGTGACCTGCTGTTTAAAATGTAAAGGTTTGGTTTTGTGAGGCATAAATAAAGATTTTGATCAATTTGAAGTCTTTTGGCTCATGTCACGTAAGGGGCTCTGTGCTATTCAACCAGCCAAGGAAAACTTCGAAACACAGCTTACAAAAGCACAACTAGTTCAGTAGAGTTCAAATGCATCAACATGTTTGCATCTATTTTGGAAGTGTGGTGTCCTCTGAAAATAGCTCTCAGTAAGTACCTCCTGATAAAATGTCAATGCTGATTCTAGGTAGAACTTGCTCCCATTGTTCTAGCTGAATGTGTTTAAGCTCGGTTGATGTGTGAATGGTCCACATAACTGACTAGCTGTCAATAGTCGGGAGCCATGTGGACACATACACACGCGTGCGCACACACACTCCATAGACAACATGTATATACCAAAACAATATCTTTTATTTGTAGTCCATCACCACAGGCCTGGTAGGCTATTCTGCACCAAAGCCAATGGAGAAACACATGACAAGCTTATACAATAGAGAAAAGAGAGGAAGTCAACTGGATGGTAAGCAGTACGTGTTTACATTTCTGTGTCTCACTCTGGACACCACACCTGCCTTTCTAAATTTTAACCAGATCTACCTAGCTCTAGTTCTATAATACCTGGCATACCTGCTGTGGCATTTAGCCACTCCTGTCCCATTCTGCTGACCATTGGGGGATTATTGCTGTGGGAATGATTATTACCCAGAGTCAACAAGAGTCAAAACAAAACAGGAACAAGAAGAACACACATAGCACATCTGGGTATTAGCAGTATTATTCACGCTGGCGAAAGTTGAGTCCTGAAAGTTTTGGAGCATCAAGTCAAATGTCATCCACAACTTGAAATGGACTGGGGATTATCATTGTGCTGCAAAGCTGCCAGGATCCTCACACTTAGTGTGTTTACACTCAATGGTAAAAATAGAGAAAGAAGACGCTTTCTGCAGACGGTCCATGTTTGTGCTTTTTTAATAATACTATTATCTTAATGAGGTCATAGTTTGGTTTGTTATACACTGGAGTTACAAAGGAAATTAAAATAGACTAAAATTCGAATAGCCCACCAATGGTAAACAGTACAGTATTTTTAGGGGGCATTCCTCCCCCAATGAAAGTTGGGTAAGAGGAGTTGAGAGGTCACTGATAGAATGCCTATACATACAGACACATACATACATACCACACAAACATACAGTCTGTCAAGCACACACACGCACTCACACGTATATACTGTACAGAAACAGTCAAAACAATGGAGCGAGAGACAAGATGGAGTTCCACTAAAGTCTTCACAAAGCACAAATTCTTATTCCTTTCTCTTGTTCCATACGACTGTCATGACAAATTTGTTTTTTAAATTTGAAAAAAGTAGACATATACTGTAGCATCTCCACGCTGACTTGTAAGGTTGATTCCTCTTTGATGGTGAAGTCATCTTTATAGTCAGATAATCAAAAAACACGAACAGTTTTGCGAAATTGATGCACAACAATCCCATACATTCTGAAGTTCATGAGTCAAAATTAAATGTTCTTGTGGCAAAAGTACTCCAATCTGGGCCTGTCCCGAGTCTCCATTGGAATAGTTCCCACAGGACATTACTAGGTGACTGGTTAGCTCCATTCTGTTAATTTCTGGGAACACCCTCTCTTGTATTATACTTCCTTTACTTGAGTCCATCAGAGTTTTCTGAACACTCTCCATATGCCACCTTTACTCCACCCTTGCGTACTGTCCAAGAACATTCTAGATACAAGGTTTCTGTTCGATTAGAACATTCCAGGGCCCGGACTGAACCCCATGTCCATATCACGTGGCCTCATCTGACCCCCCATCATCATTGTCTGCTGTGGGGGGCCACCCATGCCCTGCAGTGACATCATCATGTTAGGTGAGCCGCCAGGGCCTGGGTGGGCCATTTGTCTCCCCTGCATCATCCCTCCCGGACCCCCTGGGGACATCATCCGGTGCTGGGGGCCCATCATGCCTTGACCCATGAATCCTGGTGGCCGCATCGAGTTGTGACCAGGGTTGCCCATTGGCATGTCCTGGGGACCCATTCCCCCACCAGGCCCCCCTGGCATCCCCCCCATCCCCTGCATGGACATCCCCATCCTCGGTGGACCCTCGCCCATCATGCCTTGCATGGGGAAGCCAGAGGGGTGTGGTGGTTTTCCCCCAGGGTTGTCTCCTCCACCTCGGGGGAAGTAAGACAGAGTCTGGCTGGGCTTCTCTGATGGGATTATCCTGGACAGGTCAAACTCAGGAATACCAGATGCTCCCGGTCGCATCACCTCATGAAGGTCTGCATCACTGAATCCGCCTTGCATGTTGTTGAACTCTGGCCCTCCTGGATTATTGGGTTTGCACATGACCCCATCACCCCCTCCCCCATGAGGCATGTTCCCCATCCGTCCTCCCATAGGCCCTCCTTCCCCCTGGAAGCCCATGGGGTGGCCAGGGAAACCTTGGGGACCAGGACCGTTGTGTGGGGAGAAAGGGCCTTGCTGGGAGGGGGACTGGGTGAGGGGGTATGCCTGGCTTCGGTGAGGGTAACCCATGCGTCCCTGGGGCATCATTTGAGGGTTTCCCATACCAGGGTCTTGGGGATTTGGTGGTATCATCATGCCATGAGGCATCATGCCCGGGCCCATATTAGGGGCATTGGGGGAGGGCATCTGTGGGGGCATGCCATGGGAGAGGGGCTGGGATCCCATTGGATTCATACCCAGAGGGCTGAGGGCAGACATGGGTCCAGTGTTTCCAGGTCCCATCATTCGTGGATTGCCTTGGTGATTCATTGCCATACCTGTACATGCAAAACAAAAAAAGTTTATATATTCAGTTCAAGCTGTTGTGAAGGAGATCAAAGGAAGATTAGCATAAATTTGGCCCAAGGTGGGTGGAAGTGAAACTACAAATTAAACAACAAACAATGGATATTTCAGATGTCTTACCATTATTGTTCACTGATGGCAGGTTAGGAGACCGAGCCGGGGGCGAGTCGTCATCAGAGCTGGCAACAGTCTTTATGGCATCATGGTAGAGTGGGGTGGAGCTGGGCATTGCAAACTTGGACATGCGTGACATCATGATGGAGAGAGGGTTCTGGGATAGAGTTGGCTCAGGGGGTATGGTGTACGGACTGCCAGACGGGACGTTGCCTGGGAGGGACATGGAGCCAGATGGAGCCCCTGATGAAGGAGGGGCTGAGGGAGGACCGTTACCACCTAAAGGACGACATGATGAGAAAGAGAGGACATGACAAAGAGATGATAAAAATTAAGAGTTCAGACTTTTCATTCTCGGGCAGATTGTTTTTTATCTTTGATTATATTAGCATTAGTGTGTGGTACTCAAGGCTCAGTAAGATCTAAATTATGTGGCCACAAGAGGGAGCCACTGGACCATATCCCACCCAACCCCACCCCTCATACAGATGTGTTAACTTGATGCACTTGAAAGATAGCCTCCATGTCCATTTTATTGTCAGTTTTTTAGACCAATTCTGATTTCAAAGGCCCAGGTCATAGTCTGAGTCAGATATTTTACATGTGGTATTAACAATCCAGAGACCAGTGACTAAAAATGCAATACAATTAAATTCAACACCAAATTATTCAAATAAGAAATCCCAAAATTAACAGTATGGAATTTAATAAAGATGCACTGAAAGTAGAAGGGGAATTAAATATTAACTTAATATATTAAGAACAAGTAGAGACAGAGTTGCTGATGAACACAGAAAAGGGAGGAAATATATTGTCATACATACCTTGCTCCATGCCCATCATGTTTGGTGAGGTGATACTGAGAGGAGGCTTTCCACCCTGAGGTGGTACTCCAGGACTCTGCATGGGTGGTTTTGGTGAGGAAGCCCATCCTGGTGAGGGGTTAGGAAGAGAAGGAGACCTCATATGAACGGGAGAGGCACCAGCTGATCCCATCATGGAGTGGGGGGACTTCATTGGTGCTGATGTTGGAGGAGCTGGAGGGACACTGGGGCCTGTGGGACCAGTGAGCATGCCAGCCAGCTGGGACGGTGTCTGAGGGGATTTAAGGTTTCCAGAGGGAGAGCCCATCATGGGGGACTGTACTTGCCTCAGAGGTGGGGACTTAAGTGGGTTGACACTGGGAGAGTTCCCCCCTCCCGCTTGGACATTCAGATCTGCCGGCTTGCGGCCCCTCTGACCTTGTGAAGGGCCACCAGCAGAGGGGAGGTGGTTAATACGGCCATTACCTCCTGTTGGTGTAGATCTGTGCTCTGGACCAAAGGCTTGGTCTGCATGTGGACCTCTCATTCCTCCAGGACCCCCTGGGAACGGCCGCCCAGGCCCCATAGGAAAGTCTCCTGGCTGTGTCTGCTCAGGGAAGGGAGGACCCTGCATAGGCCTCCCTTGAGGACCCATGTTCTCCATTGGAGGTCCTCCACCTCCCCTCATTCTCATCATCTCATCAGGACTCATATTCATGGAGGGATCTCGTAGCTTGGAAGGGTGCATATGAGGTCCTGGCCCTGGTCCAGGCCCCATGCCAAACTCAGGCCCCATTTCCCTGCCCCCCATTCCCTGAAGCCTAGAGGATGGACTCATAGGACCATCACTGGGAATTCTGGGAAATATACCCATGCCATTACCAGGTTCCATTCCACCTCTTTGGTGCCCCATCATCCTTTGCATGTCCATCATCATCCCAGGAGGGAGGCCCTTCTCACCACCCATACCTTGGTGGAACATTGCTTCTTGGACTGACTGGGGATTTGGGAAACGCTCACCACGACCCCCTGGACCAGCAAACATTCCACCAGGCCCTCCAGGGAAACCTCGTGCATCTCCCATCCGGGGAGGCATGTCATCAGGCCAGCCCATTCCAGGCCTTGGGGGTCCCTCCATCTCAGGATTCATCATACCAGAGAAGCCAGGCATCCTCTGCATATGTGGAGGCATACCCCTGGGGCCAGGGCCCATGCCCATACGTTCCTGGTAGTGTTCAGGTGGACCACCTGGTCCTCCCCACATCTCTCCTGGTCCCATCTGGTAGGGAG